GTAACAATTGTCTTGTGTAATCATGACATATTTGCTTGAAATGTTACCCCAGTTCACAACATACTCCTGATGTTAGTAAAAGGTTGAACTTTATTCCAACACAGATGAACTTTCATGATACTCCTGATGTGTTTTACAGATCAGAAAGATGAAGGACAGGTTAGACATGTGGTGTGGAGATGTGAACTCCATGGAGATGATGGTGGAGGTTAAGGCTACCGACCTGCTGACATAGAAGCATCAACTAGATACTCATCTTCATAGTTCATTTGTAGAAGTCATTATGAAGCAAGTTTGAACTAAATAAAGTCCCCTTCTTCACTGAAATTAGGTCCCCACACACAAGAATAAAGAAATGTACAACAATCAGATTATGTGCTCACTACATACTTCAGTTTTTTGGGGGGTTGTTTTCTTGCAGTCCTTGAAAAGTGTATGCTCTTGTACTAGGATAAATATTATATCACTTATTTTAATAGGAAAAGGGGCAAACAAACCAAACTGCCACTACGTAAATATCAAGGATTATGCCCCCAGTCTTGTTAGTCATCTGTACTAAAATTAGTTTTGTTCTTGTAACCAGTTATATATAGAACAGTACATGTAATCTCCAAGCATACCGTATAGTGGCAAGGCAAAGGAGTGACCATGAAATTCACTCCTCTGGCCAATGGATACTACATCGCCACCATATGATATGCTTGGAGGTTACATATACAATGTATGTGCTTTCATACATGAATAGTGAATTTTTCAAATAAGCAGTTCTGTTGCCTTGGACAAGCATTGTTGTGCGTGTAACCATGGTTACAGATGAATAAACACCTTGTCCTCAGTTATGGCTGTCCCCTTTTGTCCATGTGTCGTACAAAATTTAGTAAAAAAAAACTTGTCTGTACTTCTTCTTCTTCTTATCCGAGTTTTACGTCTATTAATTCCCCAAATCGGGGGTATAGACGTGCTTGCACAGGTGCATGTTTGGGCTTGTCATTTTGCCCCTCAGCATGCTGAGGTGCACAACAGCAAGCCTGTGCAAGACTTTTTTTGAAGCAAGGTTTTTACTGACTGGATGCTCTTCCTAACGCCAAACTCTAAAGTTTTTGACAGCTTTCAGAGACTGGCTGTATGAGGAAATGTGTGTTAACTGCCTTTCCCAAGGGCACAACATGCGGGTATGTAGTAGGTGGATTTGAATCCTGGATCCCGGGCCGAAAGCCCTACCACTACACCACACGACCCCACACTGTACCCGTGTGCTATTTTCCCGACATTCGCTTTGTATATATAGTTACTGTATTAACATAATATTCTACGAGAGATGACTCAATTGTGTTTTCAAAAGAACAAGTAGTTTAATACATGTATGTACAACTTCCATCTCTCATAGAACCCAACAACTGGGCAATACAATGTGGTACAACTTCCTCCTACAGGTCTAACATGTACAAATACACAACTTCAGCGGCATGTGTCGTCCTTTTTTTCCTCTTAAATTCCAACAATCTAAGGATCGGGAGGATTGCTAAGAAAGTGGTTTGTCGAATCCTTCTTTACAAGGTTCTAAAATGTTGCACCATGTACAATCTTGTAGTGAAATGCCAAGTGTTGTTGTCTCCTGTGGTTTGTTTATACACTGTGCAACTGCGTTCTTCTAGGCCAAAACTTGCTACCTGAACCGTTTACTGCTAAAGCGTGGCATTGGCAGATTCGAAAAAACTCTCAGCCAATCAGATGAGGGAGATTTGAAGACATATCCATGAATCAACCAATCAGACATGTCTTCTGCATGGGAAAGTAACAAGTGATGTGATTGGTCAGTTGTCAGCTGTTCTGCCTCAACAAGTAACCAATCACAGCCTTCTTACTAACAATGGTAGGGAACATGGCTTTTTTTCTTTACCTGCTGAAAGGCTGCAATTAACACAGTCCCTGATGAGCTTGAAAACAAATTTGTTGGCCTTACCAGTCCACGTAACGTGGTTAAAATGTGAAACAACAGTTACATTTTCCTTTATACACCTTTATTTCTTTACTGGCAGAACTAGTACCCTATTGTTTAAATTCAGACATTTCCAGTTTCATATTGACCTCTGAATATACACTTTTGTAACGTTTAAGTGACCAGCCAAAGAAAATAAAGTATCAAGGAAATCTCTTATGCTTTGAGAACAGTTTTACAACTTTAATTTTCATCTCCGTACATATACATTGTCCTGGAAAAACATTTCTGCCCGACCCCTCAAATATCTAGATGGTACAGTCTGGTGGTAAGTGTAATACTGTGGGTGATGGAAAAAGACAAGGCTAAGGAATACTCCATTTAAAGTGGAGGGGTGTAGACAAGACGTTTCTGTGAAAAGATTTAATCTCACAAAAACTACTGCGCTTTGTGTTGTGTTGATGGTGCAAATATCCGACGCATTTTGGAGCCTGGCTTAACAATTTGTGGACTTTCCTCTGATCTAAACTAATTTTTGCATTTCTTACATAAAATCAGCTCATTTTTCTGGAACAAGCTGAGAAAAATTAGGACAGCACTGAAGATGTACAACTTTGCCCTTTACATGTCGGTCAAAGGTTAAAGGGTACAAAAGTGAGGCACGTCCGCCCCGACATACTGACAATGACCTTTAACCCTTAACCCCCGTCTCGTGGTAAGCACGTGCGCCCTTGCACAATTATTTCGCTGCTGTTCCCTTAACGCATGTGCGGCCCAACACGCCTGGGTACCAGACTATCCACAAGGCCTGCCCTAACAAACGTTAACTGTACAGTCATCAATTGTGTATCTTGATGGCCTTCTCTGTGTACATGTAGGGCCGCGATCTCTTGGCCGTTTTGTTGATGTGGTCGATGCCGAGCCAGGGTTTGGGCTGCATGGCCCCGCCGGGCACCATCTGCGGCATGAAGTCCTTCAGTTCCACCGAGTACTCCTCCGGAATGTAAGTCTGTCTGCCCATCACTATAATGGCGAACTGATACTTCTCAAACTCTTTATCCGGGACCTCCAGCTTCTTCTGGATCTGGCCGCGGATTGTCGCGAAGGCCTCGCCCTGCCGGATCTTCACCATGAAGGGGGTGCCGAACGTCGCGAAGACTTCCTTGGAGAAGTGAGCGCAGTGGACGAGGAGCTCCTCCTCCCGGATGCTGACCTCCTCCTGCGGTATCTCCTCGATGCGGTACGTCTTGGTTCCCTGGCTGTTAAGACACTCCAGTAAGACGTCCTCCTTCTGAACGCAGAAGATCTTGTTGCTAATGACCTCGAGTAACCTGGTAAAACAGAAACAGATAAAACAAAAACTGTGACTTCAAGGCTGCACTGATGCTAGTAAAATCATTCTTTATTCAAAAATGAAGAAAATGACTTCTGTATCTGTATCAATATAGCCAGTATAACCGCCCTTTGGTGTAACACACCAGCTTCGCAGGCACGCAGCGGCAGCTACTGAGCTAGCTATGTCACACCGAACAACTTTTTACAATCTTTGCACATTTAATTGTAGGAGTTGTTTAAATTGAAGCTTTCTAGTGATGATGCCCCAACTGTGCTGGGTGGCAACGAGTTGCACTCTACAATAGTTCTGGGGAAATACGAGTTCCATGAGTTCGAAAGGATGCAAATGCATAGTTAAAAATTTTGCACAGAGGGTACATGTAGGTTTTTACAATAACGTGTCTGTTTCCCAGTGTGGCTTGTGACGTGTGTTCCATATACATGTAGCATATGATGACAGAATGCATGGCTAATGTCTCTGAAGAAGTTGTTGGGTGGTCTTGACTTACATGTAACTGCCTTAAACATTGTCCTAAGTCTGCATTTATTGGTATGGTAAGGCCCGGGATCCAACAGTGAGAGATTGTGGAACACAGACCATGTGGGATTGTGTGGCGTAATGGCAGAGGTCCAGGGTTCGAACCCTGCCATGTCACCAATCGCCCTTGGGGAAGGCACTTTACACGACTTTCCTGGATGGAGGCCTGGCAAACCCCATCTCGTATTCGCCGCAAAAAGGCAGCAGAATCTTCAGCTAGTTGAAGATGGTTTCCTCAAAATGAAAGAAGAAAAAAGAAGATACATGTACTGTACCTGAGCTTGCCCGACCCCCCGTCCTGCGGCAGCTGTAGTTGTTTCCCTGCTTCCTCCAACAGGTCTGCCACCGTGCCGTTTTTACTGGGGTACAGAACCATCTCACGATCCTCTTTCAACTTGCTGTGGAACGGCACAAACACCACAATCAGCTTTCTCTGGTCTTAAAATAATGTAGGTACAACATAATATATAGAAATGGTAATGTTGAGGGTTAGTTTTTTTCAACCAACGGATACTGCATGAAATGGGATAAAATTCTTTGAACTAAAAAATGTACATTGTATTTCATCAAAACTTGTATTTCATCAAAAGGGTTGCATAAATAAAAATTAATCCTTTTTAACAACAACTTTTTAGATATATTTTTTTTGGGGGGGGCAAAGGCTGTTACTCTAAGTAACAGCATTGTTGAAGTGTACAATGTAGTTCTTACTCTTACCAAAAGACGTATACTTATCATATCTTGATTGACTTGAAAGTTCAACTGTCTTTGTTGAGGACCAATATGAAGCAAGTTTACTCATTCGTAGACAAAACCTGGAAAGTGTCCAAGTGTCCAAGAAGTCCAATTTTTGACTGATTGTATAACTTGAGACTATAAGAAGGCAAAAAAGACACTATCCCTGTGTAACATCTGCTTCTACCTGCACAACCTGCGGGAAACTGCAGGAGTAAAGCTGGGCTGGCCGCCTTTCGACATTCGTCTGTCAAGATGAAAAGAAGAAGAAGAATCACTCACCTATTGACGAAGATGCACTTGAACTGTCTCTTGTTCTCCAGTTCGTTAATGGGGATGCGGAGCCGCTGGTAGTACAGCTTCTTGGGCCCACGCTGCTTCAGGTTGCTGAGGAGGTCCTTAAGTGTGCCCTCGTACGTGCATCGCAGCGGGTTGCCGGGCGCGTCACGGTAACCCTGCGTCTTAAAGAACTGCAGCAGCATCGGGTCTGTACTCAGCTCCTGAGCTACACACTTAGCAACCTGGGGGGGGGGAAACATTTGTTTGAATGTTATGTTTACCCGAGGTTCACCGTTTTTGATGAACAATATGCCCCAAAGCTAAATGTAGAAGAGATGAGTTAGGTATACCTGAAAGTAGTTCATTCTCTGAGACAGGACAACGTCACAAGCAATCAGGGAAGATGTGGAAACTTTTACAAGGACACAGAGTTTTAGAGGCTCACCACACATAAATTTTTTGCTTTGGGTGAACCATGTAACATACATGTACATGAAGTTGAATGTAAATTTGCAAGGTACCTGAAAGTAGTTCATTCTCTGGGACAGGACGAGATTGAAGCCAGGATCGCTGGGAATCGTCTTGTCACAGAACACCACCTCCACACGATAGTACAGGTCCCTGGGGGGGGGGGCACAGCAGACCATCAGTACACTAAGTCTTACAATGCAGTGTATTATCTATTAGCAGGGTTCTAGCTAGGGTGTAATGTTAGCGTAGTGGTACTGGCCACCTGTCGATGAGCCCTCCTTCCGCGGTGCGGAGCTTTTAAAAATTTGAGCTAAAAAAGGGGGACATTTGAGGGATACCCAAAGGGAAAAAATGTTATTTCTAAGGTATGGTAATTTTTTTTACATTTGATCTGGCATTCTTGAACAAAGAAATACAGTGCCCCTATGCTGTCTGTAGGGGGGAAAATTTAGCGTAGAGGGTCAAAATTATAGCGTAGGGGGCCCCTACACTACTTTGGGCTAGCTAGAACCCTGGCCTATTAGTCTTCAGCCTGCTATATGTAACTTACAGAATTTTGCCTGTTGCAGACATCCTTTCCAACACCGTTGGATTGCTAACCCTATATACGCGAATACGACCTTACATGATCATGAGATGTTCTGCCAAAGTGCTATGCACAATACATTACGGGTTTTGCGCAGGTGCAGTACGTTCTGCCGACGTGCTATTTGGGAAAGACTCCAAGAGTTTTCCCCTCGTGGGGTCGTGTGGCGCAATGGCAGCGTGCCTGACTCGGAATCAAGAGGTCCCGGGTTTGAGTCCTGACATGCCACCGATCTTGTGCCCATGGGAAAGGCACTTTACACAACTTTCCCCACTAGACTCAAGTGAAAATGAGTATTGTCTGTCCAGTATCCGTTTCTATGTGTGGGACACAACACCAGCAACAGCTGCCTCTGTTCCGCGTGTATTGCATTGTTGCAATTTCAATAAAATAGAAAAAAAAAATAGTTTTCCCCTCACCTGAAGTAGTCTTTCGCGGTGGGGAGTTCACACTCGTCATTTTCTGGGTCGTCCTTCTGAAAGATGATGATGTCACCGTCCATGAGTTCATCCAGTGCCTTGTCCAGCGGGAGTTCGTAGTCCTGGATTCTCTCCACCAGGTTCGGCTTCACCTGGACGTGCAGAAGGCAAGTTCAAGTGTCTGCAAATTCCCTATTAAGCCCGTCACACATTCATATACGTCCCAACGACAGTGCTAGAAATACCCATCTGAAGTCTGCATTTTGCAGACACATTTTCAATGTTTCAGAAGAAAGAGAAAGCAACCTGCAATTTTGCAGACTGGAAAAATCAGACTAGGGGTTCAATGGTATTTAAGAGCTTTTGTGTTTTACTATTGACTCTACAGCTAATATACAATGTACAAGACTAATTTTGCATGTGAAATGTTAACAAACTGGCAATTTTGTATATGCCACGGCATGGGTTTAGATCCCGACTTTCAAGTATTTTCAGTATTTCTTGATTGCAGATCAAAATTTAGACATTCTGCAGTATTGCAGAACACCGAAAACAATTATTTCTATCACATTCTCCTTCGTTTACCTCCTCGAACATGATGAGGTCTGTGTCGCTGCGGAAGCCCGCCCGACGGTTCATGATGGGGATGAGTTCCTCCACCCTGGTGCTGATCGGGACATAGACGTGCCCCGCGTAGCAGATCATCTTCAGCTTCGGGTCGTACATCTTCAGGAACAGCATCACATCCGAGTCCTTGTCGAAGGTCGGCAGGCAGCGCACGTCCGAGTCCGGCTCCACGCACTCCAGGAACACGTACCAGGGCGGGTCGTTCTCCGCGAGCACCACCACGCTCTTCTCAAGGTCGTTCTCAATGTCAATCATGGTGGGGCGGAACGTGCAGTTGCTGCGCTGCTGGAAGGGCCACGGGCGGATCTGCTGGACCGGGTAACCGACCGACCCGGCGAGCATCTCCATAAAGGCTCCCAGCTTCATCTCGCGAAGCACTTTGAAAGTCCTGTAGTGCACGTGCTCCATGTCGAACATGTCGTTGCCCTGGTGGCCGCAGAACTGGTCCTCGGTCACGACGTGCACGGGCATGTACAGGTGAGCCTCGCTGCGCTCCTTACGCCGCTGGAGCTCGAACTTCTTCTCCTCCGCAAGTCTCTCGATCAGGTTGTCAGGGATGTCGATTTCGTTCACCGGACACAGGACCTGTTAAAAACCAGACAAGAACAAGAGTTATCCATCAATATTCGAATGAAAGCTCATCTGTGTAGGTAGAATAGTTATAGAGTAAAAAAAAAAATAAACCCTCTCTGAACCGTGACAGTAGAAGATTCTGTCTTCCCGCCACTTTTGATGCGCTCCTGACGTCATCCCGCTTCTGACTTCCGGATTATCAACCAAGAATTGAGGTGCTCAAAAACTTGTTTTTTACTATAGAACTATCCGCTGCCACTGAGTACAGTAGGAGCATCATCACTCGATAACTTTAAACAATGCTTTAAGCCTTTCAGTTACATGTGCCTTGTTACTTGTGTCTTGCCTCATGCCTGCGAAGCTGGTGTGTTACGCCGAAGGACAGTTCTACCGGCTATACAGATACAGAGGCTGGCGTGTTACGCCGAAGGGCAGTTATACCGGCTATACAGATACAGAAGCTGGTGTGTTACACCAAAGGACGGTTCTATCGGCTATACACAGATACAGACATAATCAGATGCTATCATACATACCTCATCCTTGCAGCTCTCCCTGACGTAGACCAGCATGTATGCGTTGGTGCAGTGTCTGATGGAGATGTCGTCGTCGAAGCCGCCGAAGTTGTGGTCGATGGCCTCCGCCTTGGTGCAGCGCGAGACCACGTCATCATCAAACTTACACCACTTTCCTGATGAGGTACAAAATGACTAATAAGCTAACATATAGATAGACATAGATAGATGGATGTCTAAGTTAAACATATACAGGGCTTAAAATACTGGGTGCATGTGCACCTTAGTGCACCTAAATTTGGAGCTGTGCACCCAACTTTTTTTTTTTTGGTTGGTATTTTTGTACATATTAAATGTATAATATATATTATATTCCTGGCATCTTAGTGTCAGAAAAATGATAAATTCTTTGTAGTACAATAGTTCCTTAGGTTTACTAAAGCTCCAGGTAGAAAATGCATGTACAGATTGTATCATGATTGTATTTTTTCTTCTTGAACTTAGTGGGGAACCTTAACCAAATTACGTGGATAGGACAATTATATTTTTCTGGTGGTGTGCCTAGATTTTTGCTGGTGCGCCCAATTTTTTTGGGTTGGGAGCACAGTGCTCCTAAGTCAAAAAGTTAGTCTGGAGCCCTGTTGTTAAAGATGTTGAAGTTAGGGGGTTATTTTACAGATACTTGCCATCACTGCGAGGGTTAAGATTTTGAAGTTAGAGGGTTATTTTACAGATACTTGCCATCACCACGAGGGTTAAGATTTTGAAGTTAGAGTGTTATTTTACTGATACTTGCCATCGCCGCGAGGGTTAAGATAGACGACGTAGTGTCCGCCGTGGTTGTCCCCACTGTGCACCAGCACTGCGTGCAGGATGTACACGGCAGGGTCCTTCGTGTCCGGGTCCTGAACGAACTTGTCCAGGTTAATCCTCTCGTGGAACTCACAACGGTCATTGATCTTGATGTTGGTGTCCGTGCTGGGGTCGTACTGGAACCTGGATGTGTAAAAAATCATTCGGAAATAAAGAAAAGACAATGAGTCACATCGACTATACATTTGTACATGCAGGGAAACATTAGACACAGCACATTGCCATACAACGTGCTGGAGTCGTACTGGAACCTGGATTGAGTAAAAAATCATTCGCAAATAAAGAAAAGACAATGAGCCTAGGTCACGTCGACTATACATTTGTACATGCAGGGAAACATTAGACACAGCACATTGCCATACAACGTGCTGGGGTCGTACTGGAACCTGGATTGAGTAAAAAATCATTCGCAAATAAAGAAAAGACAATGAGCCTAGGTCACGTCGACCGTACATGCAGGCTAGAGACACATCACATTGCGGTACAATATCAAGACATGTGATATTGCATGTTTTCCTTAAATTAGTTAAAATCATGGAAAGAAGTAAGTTGTTAAACTTAAAAGGCACCACTTCTACGATTCCACTTACTGTAATACATAATTTTTTCACTGTACTTTTATGTTCACTGTTTCACTGTCACTTCTGTTCTGTGAACTTATCATTACAGTTAAGAAATAATTCCTGGACTTTCTTTTCCCTGTACCTGTCGCCACTGTGGATATATAGTTCCGTGAACATGTCCATTTTTCTCAGACCGTAAAATTTTGCTACTGTGAACATAAAGTGAATTACAGTATCTGCGTAGCTACACTAATGGGATCCCAATAAAACAAACAAACAAACAAACAGACAGACAGACAAACAAACAGACAGACCTCATGAGATGTAGATGAAGAACCGGCGGGAAGCTCTCGAAAATCACGCCCTTCTCCGCCTCCTGCAGGCCGAACTTCCCGGCGTCGTACTTGTTCTCCCCGTCCATGGTTTCCGTGGCGATGTAGTCCTGGAATGACTCGTACAAGTTCTTCTTGCCCTTGATGTTGAGCTGAATGTCGTAGAAGGGCTCCGTGCGCGACGACATGTAGTCTATGTGCTTGCACTTGATGAAGGAGATCATTTTTCCCTCCAGGAGCCGCGGGATGGTCCCCTCGACGCACGTCCCACGCATCTTGCTCTCCATGTTGTCCAGCAGGACGCGGCACAGTTCCTGTACGTCGTGCTGCATGAAGGAGTCCAGCGTCTCCCAGCCGAACGACTTGGTGAGCTTCTTGGTGCCGACCGGCTTGTCGTTGTGCTGGAGCTCGTAGAATATCCTCTGCAGCGCGAGCGCCACGCTCTTGGACTGGTCGTCGCTCTCGGTGGGCATCTGGTACACGGCCTTGCGCAGCTGGTTGGTGAAGAACAGGGTCTGTAACAGGGAGTTCATGTAGCAGGTGGCGCCCTGGTTCTTCAGCCCGACGTACCCCGTGTGCTTCTTGGAGTCCCAGGCGACGCCGTGCGGCGCGTCCGCGTTCACGTACACCTCGAGAACGATCCGGTCGTCCCTGATGAAGCCCTTCTGCGCGTCGCCGACCTCGTGCCACGGCATGAAGTGCGCGAAGCCCCAGTCGTTCTCCTTGCTGTAGAAGATGTGCTGGATCTTGCGGTTGAACGTCTCCACGCCTTCCTTCTGCGGGATGAGACGCAGCTCCGCAGACGCACTGCATGGGAAAAAAGATAACAGGAGCTTTATTAATGAGGGAAAAACTTACACACACATACAAAGACAACTACAAACTAGAAAGGTAACATTTTGTAATGCATACTGTTTACCCCCACATGGTCTAGTCTGACAGACCATTACTCTATAATTGATAAAAAAATGATTCTTAAACACAATCATGTAACGTAACTAAGTTTTTGAGGTTTTTGAATTGAAGAACATTCGCAGCTTTGTGATTTCACATTGCAAGACAAACATTGTAAAGATATAAAAACAAGTGTGCAAACATTTCATGGTGTACAGTACTGCAGAACGTACTGCCCCTGCACAAAACCCTGATTTTTCGCTGGATGTTTGGTCAACATTGCATTAGAATTTTGCATGTTGCACGCCTTTTCCGACATAACATTTGGAAACTACAGACAGGATGCTAACCTTATTTGCGCGAATACGACCTTATATGAGACGTTCTGCTGAAGTGCTATGCAGAATACATTACAGGTTTTGCGCAGGTGCAGTACGTTTTGCCGATGTGCTTTCGTGGTGCACAGTACCTGCATGACCATGAGCTGTCGGAGTCGGCGTTACACTGCAGGAAGAATCCCAGGCTCTTGTTGTTCGGCCGCTCGGCGTTGGGGTTATGTCGGGGCATGGCCATGATCTTCCAGGGAAGGTTCCGGATGAAGACTGGGGGGCTGAGCTGGGTCTCCTTCACCTGGAGGTAACCAACGGCAGGAAGATTAGAAAAAATTTTCAAAGTCTATCCAGTTGTTGCCTGATGAGTAACAATATTCTTGTGTACTAGTATCTCATTACCTGGATGTCTAAACCTCAAAGTCTGCTTGTTGCTTGAGTAAAAATTTCTTCTGTACCTCATTATCTGGACGAGTATAAGCTAAATAACGTTTATCAACATATCTGAGAACATATTGTCTGCTCCTCCAACCCTGTCCTGTCACTTGCTACATAACCCAACAAGGTGTCTGCTACAGTATCATTGACATACTTTGACCCAGTGCTGACGTCACACGTGGCTACAGGTCACGTGTCCACAGCACTTGGGTCATAAAGCTGATGAAGATTTCAAAAATTTCTGGTAAGTCATTTTTGTTGTTGAGTTGGAGAACACTTTAATTTTCTCCCTCTCATACTGTTGTATGTTTGGATAGGAAGAAAAAAACTGCACAAAAAATCATCTGTTTTCCTTCTGAAATAATTTTATATGCTTAAAAAAGTCACTACAAAGTCAGCAGACAGTACTGACCTTGCTGAAGTTCTCGACGGTGAATCGGAAGGTCGCTTCTGCACGAGACTCATCCTCCTCCTCCATCAGTTCTTCCACCAGCACCTCACCTGAAAGGGCAAAGGTCAATGGGCAAAGGTCAATGGGCAAAGGTCAATGTCCTGCAGTGACACTGTTGTACATGTACATCCCTGCCAGCACCCATTTTTCCGTCAACTGCAGGAACTTCGTGGCATGTGACGGAAATATTTTTAAACCAATCCGTCAACTGGAATCTATCACCATCACAGTTCATCAGGGCCCATCAGCCCTCTCTGAACCGTGATGGTGGTAGATTTCGTCTTCTTGCCACTTTTGATGCACTCCTGACGTCATCACACTTCCTCTTCCAGAGAGTCAGTGAGTGCATCACACATCTGACGAAGGTTAACGAGATTGACAAAAAAATCTATGGTGAGTTCCCTTCTTGTGTTGGAATAAAGCTTAACAACTAACCGTTAATGTTGGTTGTGTTAGTGGTACTTTGAGGTTATAAGAAGAGAAAAGTTTGCATAACTACCGTTAACGTTGACAGTGTTAGTGTTTCTGCAATCATTATGGTGCGTTGCAGTTATAAGAAGAGAAAAGTTTGTACTTTTAACTACCATTAACGTTGGTTGTGTTCATGTTTGGTACTTTAAGGTAACCGTTATAAGAAGAGAAGAGTTTGTATGGCTACCGTCAATATTGGTTGTGTTGGTGTTTGGTACTTTGAGAAAGAGAAGAGAAAAGAAGAGAAGAAAAGTTTGCATGACTATAATGTACCGTTAATGTTGGTTGTGTTGGTGCTCCGTTCAGACTCCATGTCTCCGGCTGCTTTAGGTGTTGGCGGAGATTCGCTCTTCGGTGCGGGCGGCGGCGGTGTGTCGGTGTCCATGTGTTCCACTTCGTTACACGGTCGCTTCTCGGGGGGACCCTCGGTGGAGTTGGGGTTGGAGTCGCCGCTCACTAACATGTCCGGTGTGGAGTCAGTCTCCGCCATACCACCTACAGATACAGGTACTTCACTTCAAACAAGGCCTAGTGCTGGAATAGCAAAGTTCTTTCTATCACAACCATTTATTTTGAAATGAAAATAAAATGGTTGTGATAGAAAGAACTTTGCTATTCAGTTGTTTACCAACCTGATGAAATTATTTACGGAAGGTCTAGTGCTTTGTGCATTCAAGTTCATGTTTGGATTCAAGTCCACAAGTTTAGGTTTAGATCATAAACCCAGGGCATGTACAAAATACTGAAGTTGGAGTCACCGCTCACTAACATGTCCGGTGTGGAGTCAGTCTCCGCCATACCACCTACAGAAACAGGTACCATACCGAGTTTATGTGCTGATTCTTTGAATTTTTCTTCAAAATAAAATACGGAGCTACAGGGTGAGAAAAACAGGTCTAGTCAACCTATGACAGCCCCAAATGGTCGTCTAAGAATAGGAGCCATGATGTCAACGTACCTGGTTTTCAATCAAACAACAGTGCACTGATGGATGGAAAACTGTATGCTGTAGTCGGGCCTAGTTCTTTGAACCCATGTCTGTGCCACTGTTGATGGGCTTCAAACCCATGTCTAAGCATAACTTTTTGAACCCATGTCTGCTGTACCTGTGTTGTTGTTGGGAATTTAGAACCCATGTCCTACGTACCTGTGTTGTTGTTGGGACTAGAACCCATGTCCCACGTACCTGTGTTGTTGCGGTTGTTGGGACTAGAACCCATGTCCTCCTTACCTGTGTTGTTGCGGTTGTTGTTGGGATTAGAACCCATGTCCCACGTACCTGTGTTGTTGCGGTTGTTGGGATTAGAACCCATGTCCGCCTTACCTGTGTTGTTGCGGTTGTTGTTGGGCTCTCCCTTGCTGCGGGACGATGGCCTCTCGGTCACCGCCACCTTAACGTGCTTGCTCGCAATTCGCCCAATGTCTGCTGATCTACCAAGCTCTGCAAACACACAAAAAAAACACAAAATCAGGACTGCATTAGGCCAAAACAGGGACGAGGGAGCTACAAGCTCAGCCACATTTGGGATTGTGTTCTCACGCAAAAGTGCCACAAACAACGGCTACATATAACAGCGAGAATCAGAGCTCCAGTCAGAAGCTCTGAAGAAGGTGTCTGACAGACACCGAAACATCAGCAAGGTAAACAGTTTGGTTGTGTAAAAGAAAACTCCTGTATCCTATATACTTTACCAACCTGATGAAGCTATTTTCGGAAGGCCAAAAGTATTTATTCTCTCACTTCTCATATACAGGAAAGCAAAAATTCAGCAAGACAACAAGAAGGTTCCTCAAATCTTGGAGGAAAATTTGAATCCCTCCCTGAAACTGTGCGGAACGTGCCGCTTAAATAAACTCAACTTTAACTAAAGTGGCTGCTCAACTTAAGGCCGATTTGTGTATTTCACAAATAAACTCAGGATTAAAAAGAGAAAGGTTTTGGTGACATTTTAGTTTGTGGCGTATGCGAAAATGTTTCCTACCTGAATTTCAAGATACCGCACGCCGGTGCATCTATTTCTGAAATGAATACTTATGAAGGCCTGGAATTGTCCACTGCTATTACTAATGTTCTATGTGCACAAAGAGCATCGTTAAGCTTTGAGCGGTGAAACGTCCAAATTACCTGGGACAAATTGGCTGACCTGTCAATCACACAGGTGAGCCACGTTACCTGGTCAGGTGTGTGGAACGTACAGGTGTTCCCAGCCTGGGCCATTACAGGTGACAGGTGTGGTTATGGAGAGGTGCTTCAGGTGTGTGTAACACAATGCAGTGGACCGACTATACACTAACTAGACTAGTCTAGAGTGCCTTTTTTTTAATTAACCAGGGGTTTTTCTACAAAAACTTAGCATGAAGGAGCAGATCACAAGCAAGCATGGTGAGGGATTGGGGATTGATTTGGAATTTTTTATGAGAGTAACACAGTTTGTAATGCTAGAATGCATTGTTGTATTGTTTTCACGTCTTTACTGGAAAATCCAAATTTAACACAAAAATTAAAATTTATCACTCACAGATAACCTTTGTTTTTACGCATTAATTCAGTAATGTATTTATAATTACTAAAACAAATGATTTTGTAGTCTTGCACTAGTCGAACCGTTAAGACCTGCTCTTTTGTACATAATCACCCAGCGTAACCTAATATCACACGACATGCCAATTCAGCAGAGCAATTACATTAGCATGAGTGTTGGCCTTGGGTGAAGAAAAGATACATGTACTGTAAACTGTCAAATTGTGTGGTGTCAACATTACCAGCTACGTAAATGGCAACACTAGCTTGCAATTAGTACATATGTAAATTGCAATAGATATTCATTACACGCAAATTCGTTATGGGAAACCACAAATCCATTATGTACAAGTCCACAGTCATTAATATTTCGGTTGCTACACTAAAGAGTGTTACAGTAGCACCCTGCCACATTGGAGTGAGTCATACTATAGTGAGACGAGTGTGTGACCAGCGGGGAAATCTACTGTCTCTGGTGGATTCTCTCTGACAAGTAACAGCCCCTAGAAGAGCACGTCGGCAGAACGTACTGCGCCTGCGCAGAACCCTACATTTTCACACTTTTCGGTGGATTTTTGGTCAGCGTTGCATTGGAATTTTGCCAGTTGAAGAGGATATCTTTTCCGACATAGCATTTGGAAACTACAGACAAGATGTTAACTTTATATGCACGAATATGACCTTATATGAGACGTTCTGCCGAAGTGCTGTGTATAATACATTACGGGTTTCACGCAGGTGCAGTACGTTCTGCCAACGTGCTCCCTAGAAGCTAGATGGACATGCACATGTGACTTGACTGTAGTTGTCCTCCACAGTTCTATATCATTTTATCAGGGCTCGAAATTCATGTTTGGGAATAGGCGCACTCAGTGCACTCAACGTAAAACATTGGGTGCACCATATAAGATGAAATAAGTAGAATGGTAGCAAAATTAATGTGTTGTACATGGACCATGTGAATTAATGCAGACATCCTCCATTATTCCATTATTAAACACAACAGAACCAAAAGCCCCGTAAAATTCTAGTGGGAACCCTAGCAGGCTTTTAGCTAGGATTTTTTTGGTGGGCGTCCATTTTTTTTATTGTATGCTATGCACGGTGAAGACATGCCGAGTGCAAGATTTTAGGGGGGCTTTTTTGAAATTCATAATACTCTCAAACACTACTTTCTGCATTTTCAGGTGTAAATTTGAGTTTTTTCCTTCAGTAAACCATCATTTTTGTATTTATAGTAAGGCTGAAGGGAGGCATGTGTGCATGGCAATGGTTGGGAGTGGAAAAAATAGGGCGTCTTTAGGGTGTCCTACCAAAAAGTAGGGCGTCCAATTTCTTATTTTCAGTACAGGGCGTCCAAAAGACACCCTGGACACCCCCTAGCTAAAAGCCTGAACCCTAGTGAGTTATCATTATATCTTATCTCAATATATAACCTCACATTTTAACATTAGGCCATACCAATTCATTTTGTTGGTTCTCGGACATTTTTAGTTGAAAAGACAGCATTCGAGCATCATAAAATGAGGGCTAGGAAGAAAATTTGAAGATGTATTTACTACATAACGCTGAGTCCACCGAGGCATCAACCAGGTCCTCAGACTTAAGCTTTGCTTTCATTAGGTTTTTTCCAGTTAACCATTTTGCAAAAAAAAATCTGAGAACCAACCAGATGGTTAGGGCACATCATCAAGTTAGTACAACAAACAAATGTTACTTCATCATGTATTCAAGCTTGGTGATATTCCATAGAACGTAGAGCATGGAGGAGGGTCTGACTGGGGCCTACCTGTATTCTTGATGCTGTTGTACGAGGTTCTCCTGGGGGTTTTGGGAGAGGAGGAGTCCTCTGGTAGAGTCAGCTTTCCACGACTGCTCACAATGCACCCAATGGTGACCTGATTTTACTCTCTATCAACCGACTCTGCAAAACAAATAAACAACAAATAAAAATAAACAAATAAACATTTATTTCTATTATTGTTATTATGTTGAAATGTGCAAAAAGTGGCTCTAAGAACTACAAACATGAAAATTATAACACACAACAACAACAAAAATAGAGATAGTGTTGCTTTGAAAACTTCCACTTTTAGAGCAATATATGCAGCAATGTGGATGTGTAGTAATCGATGCTGCATTAATTTACATAGCTTTAGTATAAGTCAGCAGACAAGCCAAAAACAATACATGTACTTTACTCCACTACACTGTAAACAATCCAAACCTAGTAAATTGTACAATTAATAAGAGCTACATCATGTTCTATAAATCAGTTAATTTAGGCATGTACTATATGTATGAAGGCAGCCCAAATGGTAAATGACAGGAAAAATTCTTTTTAAACCAAGCAAATTTAAAATGACTATGTAATTCCAGTCATGGTGATGATGTATGTGATCACTATACATATACTTGTGTATATTTGTAGGTCCAACTCTACCAAGGTTCAAGCAAATACTGTGACGTCACATTTAAACAGGTCTCAAAGTCCTGATAGTAAAGCAAAACTTCATGTTGTAACACAATAATGTCATGTAAAATCAATGATTTAAGTTCACTTCGTATCACTAGTAAATTACACAAAACATAATCTCCAACTCCAAGCAAATATTTTGGTGGCTAAGAGACAGTATTCATTTGCCCACCAAAGCTGGTGTAAAAAAAAGAAGATTCCAGTATGCAAATGACACGAAATTTTCCATTACGTAATCTGTTTTTGCACTTTTACTAGTTTTTCACTACAAGTACCACTACCAGACTCATATGACAGCAAGATGATCGTTCAATTTGTTGGCTGGATTTTGACTTGTATTGCTGGGTACATGTTCATGATGTATCACAGATAGATACATGTATACTGGCATGGACTTGTTTTCGGATGCCACTCAAACTCAAAGACATTCAGTGCAAAGTGTTAATAACAAATTGTTACAGATAATTATGAATATTACCATCACCATCCAAATGTTTGTTTTTCAACATTTGAAGAACACAGGAGGAAAATTTTTCTGTTTGAACCTTTTCCTTTATCTTGTGAAAAAACAAACACCTACCTGCAAACTCAAAGAACCGAACTTGTACAGCAAAAAACAGCAAAGACAAGATGACAATGAAAACAATCCCAATGACACACCTCTGAAATGACAAGGAAACCATCTAACAAAAGTCCATGTGCTAAAAACATCCATTGTCATTCATTGCCAGAGCGTTAAAAATAACGAGGCTTGACTTTACTTGGATGTGTAGTAACAGACACATCTTTTCTCTGTCTTCTTTCCTCTGTCTATGTCTTAGTAACAAAAAAGTTACAAAAAAAGAAATAAAATAAAAATAATAAAAGAAATTAAAAACTTTTGTCTCTCCTATGTAGCTTTCCTTCTTTTCTTTTGATTTAGCGGTAGTTATAAATACCCCGATTAAAAACTGGCTTGTTTTTAAAACACAACTTTCCTTTTCTAAGAACACTAAGGTTTCATTCCTTCCAATGTCCCAAGAAAAGACTGTTTTGTGCAGGAGCGGAGATAATCTCTCCACGCACAGGTGGTTGTTTGGAGAAGCAAAATGCGGAACTCGGACAGACGTACACAGGAAATACAAACTTCCAACATAGCAACCGACAAAATCCACACAAATTACACCAAAAGAACCACCCTTCCTGCCCAAACCTAACCGTAACGCTAACATTGAAACTACAAAAACGTTCCTGTCGGTGAGTTCACGCCCGAAACGCCCGCCATAGCGGTTGTTTTTGTTCCATGTTGTTTGGTGTCGGTTTTGCGCATGGCGATCACTAAGGAATCTGGCCAAGTTCTCTCAGGTTTTTACCCCGACATCACGCCATGAAAGCCACAAGATCTGGTTCTTTCTGCTCCTGATTCGTCCTTCCCTGTCTCTCCTATGACCTTGCGCTTCTGGATCCTATATTACCCGTGCGCCGAGGATGTAATTTGGCAGTATGAAAGTGAGGGAGGGGGGCAATTATTACAAAGCGCTAGAGTCACGCATGAAAAAAGTGGGCCGGTTTGACAAATTATTTTCACCTTCTAGAGACATTAGGGAGGAAACCTACCCCTACATCCACCACTGTTTTGTTAAAGAAGACCTTACGATGCCATCTGATGTAAAATACCCTGATATTACGTCTGTGAGGGTGAGAAATGAGGGAAAATCGGAGAAATTTACCCACCACTACTTCTTCAGCTGATGGACATGGCGGCCAAGCACTCTGGGTCAAAGGGTAAGGGACGTTCCATTGTTGTAGCTTTAAATTTTACGGGTGTCCTAAAAATTACCTAAAACATCAAACTAGAAGAAAAAATACGACTCAAATCTTATTTATCTATACTTACGTGTTTTAGTTCTTTTAAAACTGAAGTTTGACATATTTTTTCCAGAATAGAACACCTGACGTAACATCGGTGGTTTATCCCCGGAGGGAGCCGTCCTCTCGCCGCTTCTCGCGAGGTTTGGAACAGGCGGGAAGTCCAATATGGCGGCCGCGGACTGAAAAAAATTGTTGGTGCAGATTTTGAGGAAAAAAATTGGCTTTTTGCTTCGCTGAAATCAAAACGAGCCACAGGTTTACAACCCAAGTTACAAGGTACCTATCTATGCACTATATGGTGAAATCTTCCATTTCTTTATTGTCGTTTACTGAGGGAATTATCAATATAAATGTAAGAGACATTTTGTAAAGTTGTGCTCACAAAAAATTGACATATATCGTCTGTTTTTGTCAGGTTTTTCCGGCGCCATGAGTGAGTTCAGAGTGCACCACCGCGTCAGCGAGCTACAAAACCTGCTCAAGTAAGTCAACGTCAACAAATCAGGGCTGCCATGGTCAAAATATTTGCCTAAACACATGCAAGATTCAAAATTATGAAAATTTGTGATCTAGGAGATGGGTTTCAAGATTTGAAATGACAAATATGATGCTTGTACTTGTGGCCACCCCTGTGAAAGTATTCATCATTATCTTCTGCACTGCCCAAAGTTTACTCAATATCGTGTCTCCCTCTTCAGCAATTTAACCGAACTTGTAGGATTTGCCATCAACATCCAAAACCTTCCCGATAATCTCCTAGTACAATTACTGCTTAGAGGTTCCTCTTCTCTGTCGGCTTCTAACAACGCTAAACTCTTACAATGTGTTCAATTGTTTATAAAAGAAACGGAAAGATTTGAGTAACCATCAATTTCTTATCCTACCAGTTTGTTGTTTGACTTGGAATGCCTACTTATTCACTTATCACTTACCTGCATATACTGTTATATATTTGTTACATATTTTATGATTTAGTTATAATGCGGCTTACTTTAGTTTACCTTATTACTCTTATGCTTTGCATGTCTGTATTTGTGACTACATGTATATATCTTTGTAACGATGACGACACAAACATAAGCATTGTAGCTTGAGTATGTCGTCATCCTGTCTTGTTACTAAATGTTATAATAAATAAAAAAAAAAATATGATGCAAAAGCATGAAAATAAGGTCTAAATTTATGTAATCTCACTAAACACAAAAAATAGATAATATACATAGTAGGGATTTAATTAATAAAACCAGCTTCATGCATATGGTTCTTGTGGCATACATGCTTTTAAATTAGTATTTTAGTATTGTAAAACAGTCAAACCTGTACAAGTGTCTAGTGACCACCTCTACACAATAAGGACCACCTTGCCATTATGACGTATTGGAGTTGAACACTACCAGTGGACTATCCCCGTGCTGGTAGTGATTGCACTGTTGTGTATGTGGCCCAAGGGCTAGGAAATGGAGATGGGCGCCGCCATATATGTCACTTGATGCGGGAAGGAACTTTGATTAAACTTCTTAAAGATCCTTTATGTTTGCTGTGAAGGAGGTTCGTTGTCCCTTTCATGACACTTGACACTGTCTCCTGACCTGTCCAGGGTTCGGAGTGGAGAGGGCGCTGAGGTGTACGCCGACCTGCTGCTGAAGAACATGACCCCGTACATCACCACACAGGTCAGAGGTCACAGGGCATCCACCAGGTCAAAGTTCAGGGGTGATAGGTCAAGAGATATTTGCAAAATGAGGAACATACTGTACAATCTTGCAAAGTTTATTGTGGTTATGTTCCTGGTGATGACTTTTCAGATCTTCAGTGTCTAAACCAATACTAACACAAGAAAAGTAAGTTCATGCTCAGTCCTGAGTACCCACACCATGATTCGGTACCGGTTTCCAGGTCTGACAGCACAGGGAGGTTTTTGAGGAACTCAGGGTGCCTAAGACAAACAGACTGTATAACTCATTTCTCCACAACACTCCAACTGTACGATAATCAAATGCAGGCTTAGTGTTTTGTGTTTCATGTCCTATTCCCTAATTCGTATATCCGTATGTATGTAATTGCCCTATGTTTCTTTTCGCGTATCCATAGAATGTTGATGCAATTTAGTGCACTATGTGTAGTATGTACTCCTGCTATGTTGACTGATAAATTGCAAATTAATTGCCCCAACATTCCCCCCCTCCTGTCCTGTAGGTGTCCTCTCACAGTGCCAAGAGGAAGATCGCCTCCTTCACCAAGACTCCAGACGACTTCCAGCGCAAATACGACGAAGTCAAGTCCAAAAAGTAGGTACAGTTTCAACAATTGTTTGTCCTGTTTGCTTATGCACCATTATTTGGTCAAATGAAACAGCAGAACATACTGTGACTGCACGAAATGTGGACCATAACGTGCATACATGTAGCACTGCTACAGGATGTATTGTTTAAGCCTTGTTAAAATTACAGTAACTCAAGTGTTTGATGACTCCACAGTGTGCGAGAGCTGGACCCGCTGGTGTTTCTCATCTCCAAACTTACAGAAGACTCCAAGGTTAGAAAAAAACATCACACACATGTACATGTACATGTCGCAGTACTTAGTCTAGTACTACTAGTACTAGTAGTATCCATTATTCTATAGGGTAATGTAATATCTACATCTCATATAAACAATTTAGAATTTACGAAGTTTGCTCAGTTATTGAGTCTCTAAGTCTTATACTACTGTTATAGGGAAATAGGTGTGAATTGCCTTTTCCAAGGGCACAGCACAGGGGCTTTGTAGGGATTCGAACCCAGAACCTTCAGATCCTGAATCAACAACCACAAGACCAGCTTCACAATGTTTATGTTGTTTAGTATGTTGTGTGTGTGTGTGTGTGTGTTTGTGTTTGTGTACATGTGTGAGTGTGTTTGTGTACATGTGTGTGTGTGTGTGTGTGTGTGTGTGTGTTTGTGTACATGTGTGTGTGTGTGTGTGTGTGTGTTTGTGTACATGTGTGAGTGTGTTTGTGTACATGTGTGAGTGTGTTTGTGTGTGTGTGTGTGTGTTACCGCACATTTGTAGTCAGCATAACTTCAGAACGCCTTTATGGATTGTGATGATATTTGGTATGCTGATAAGTCTTAGGAAGACGAAGGTCAAGGTCAAATATGGGCCTCCTGGTGGATAACCTTGGTACTGCAGCAGAACTTCCGGTTTTTGTTTCCCCAGACGCAGAAGTTCCTGGAACAGAACGCCCACGAGCGCGCGGCGGAGGCGGGCGGAACCCTGACTGCCACGGGCAGCCTGGTTTCTATGGCAACCGCCTCCGGAGGGAAGATGTCGCAGGAGGAAGTGTCGGAGGTGGGACCGATGATTACCTGTAACCTTTGCCTGCATCATTAACCTGCAATGTTTACCTGTTCTTGAAGCAAAGATCTGTTCTCAGATTGATTAAGCAAGTCCAAGAATCAGTGTCGAAGAATGAGAATTAAGAATAAAAAAAAATGGATAATGGACGAAATGATAAAAATTGAAAATTGGAAATCAGTATCGAACTAAAAGCCAACAATAGCAATAAAATTTAAATGAATGTTTTTCTCCTGTTTGAATCTGCAGCTGTGGGACCGATGTTTAGCTGTTCCTGAAGCATTCATGTACATTGTAGATCTTTTGGTTCTTGGATTGAAAGCAATTTCCAAGCATCTGTGTGTCAAAGAATAAGAAAAGTAAGAATTAAGGAAAAAGTAGTTGAAGAAGTAGTTGAAAAATGAAGTAAATCAGCACTACCGGAAGGAAATGTATGAGATTGAAAAAAACGAATAAATATGTAAAAATATCAATTGTCGAGAAGTAATTGTGGAAGCGAATGTAAAAAAAGAGGATAATAAAATAAGTGTTATCCTCCTGTTTGAATCTGCAGCTGTGGAATAAGAAAATAACTTCAGTGTTTTCCTGCTGTTTGAATCTACAGCTTCTGAATAAAATAATAACTTCTGAGTGTTTTCCCCGTTTAAATGTGCAGCTGCGGAATAAGCTGCTGAGTGCGACCAGTGGTTCCTCCATCCTGTCTCCAGAGTCACTGCGCAGACAGCGAGACAAGGCCAAGAAAAACGGTGAGGCACGAGCGGAAAACTTACATCACGGTCAGAAAAATTGCAAAAAGAACAAGAAATAGCCATGCTTTCATGTACCAGAGTTATCAGCCAAGGATTTAGGTATTCAAAACCTCGAGCTCATTGTTTCCTAGAACTATCGTAGAGTACAGTATGTGCATTACCATTAGATAGCTTTAAACAATGTTTAGAGTTAGATGTTCAAGAGTTAGGTGTAACAAGTCGATCGTTGTAATGTAGCCAGCTGCCAGCATGCCCGCGAAGCTGGTGTGTTACTCCAGTCAGAAGCTCTGAGGCGAAACATGAGCACGGTAAGAGACAATATTGCTTGTGTAAAAGAAAACCCCTATATCCTATACTCTGCCAACCTGCTGAAGCTATTTCTGCCCTCCTGTGTTGTGTCTGCAGCCCAGTTCCACACACTCGCCGTGCCAGCATGGGTCCACGAGCGCCCCTTCCTCACCGGCGATTTCGTCCGACAGGCACAGCCCACTGCTGAACATGTGAGTCTACAGATTCAATCAATCAATCAATCAATCAATCAATCAATCAATCAATCAATCAATCAATCAATCAATCAACCAGAGGCTTCTATCAGCAGCGAGGACTGTACAGATTGAGGAAGACAAAGTCATTTGAAAGAATCTGTGAGATTAGTCATGTTTGTCTCAGAGCTGTGAAAATGAGTCAAAAGATTGAAAATGACTCTCCTCCTTCCTTTGAGTTTGATGGACTAGAGTTGTATCAGGGAATTTGGAAAATATCTAAGCGACAAAAAACAATATACTCAAAACAAATTAAATTTGGTACAAAAAAAAGAATAAAAATGTTAAAACAACAACATTTCTGAAAATAAGCAACGACCTTGTTTCTGCCCCCCTCCCCAGCCCGTTGCCCTTGGCACCCTTCCCATGAGCCTCCAGGAGCAGGCTGTTGTGGAGGATCTGCTGTTTGCAATGATGGTGAGTCTCTGACCTTTCTGACCTTTCAACTTGTTAGTCTTTGACCTTTCAACTTGTGAGTCTTTGACCTTTTAACTTTGATCCCCCCGAGAATTTATCCTGTATGTAGCTTGATGTATTTTTCATTTTATTTTGTGATGTTCTACCAAGGAGTTTCGTTAAGTGTTTTTGTTTGTTTGTTTACAGGGTGTTGATGGAAAATACATCCAAGCCCGAGCAGTAAATGACAAACATGGACATCGCTCCTTCAATGTGGACCCCTCCTTGGGTAAGGGAAAGGATATTGGGTGGCCTGCAACTGTAAAGTGATTTCATCAGACTAAATGTCATTACTGCATGTGTAGCATATTTACATGTAACCGTAACTGTCTGTGTTGTTGTAATGTTGCAGATGTGTCTATGAAGGAGCTGGTGAACAGAGTCCTGCCTGTCTGTAGCCACTACTCTACTGTCTGCAGATTCATGGAAGGTCAGGACCTACAGTTACTCTTACTTCCATTTAATATTGCGGTTGGAAATCATAGCAGTGAGAGGGGTGAAAATGGACTTAGCTCGCAGCACTTAATTTTAGCGGTGTGGACAGATGGCAAATGATCAAAAGTGTTACGCCAATGAAATTGTAGCGGTAAAATAGTGACTGCTAAATCAGTTATAATTAAGTGACCGTTAACAAAATAAAGAATCACAGTACTCACATCTTTTGTATCCAGAACTGTGCTTTATCCAGAACCGTGCTTTATCCAGAACCGTGCTTTATCCAGAACTGTGCTTTATCCAGAACCATGCTTTATCCAGAACCGTGCTTTATCCAGAACCGTGCTTTATCCAGAACTCTGCTTTATCCAGATTTGAAGCGTTGTGAGGGACAGTTCTGGATAGTCCACTCTATTTTGTCAGTTAAGCGGTTGTTATTTGTGCCTACAGAGAAGTTTGTACTATAGACATTTTTTGCTGGTCATGAATGCTGAATGGAGTTGACCATGTTAATATGTTTTTACAGAGAAGTCCATGCCGGACTATGGCCAGGTGAACCATGCTCTCTGTGCTGCCATGAGGAATTTGGCAAAGGTGAGTTGCAAGACCCATTGGTATGACTGAGCAAACCTGAGCAAAATTGATGTTGTCTATAGTATATAGTGTCATATACAGTCAAACCTGCCAAGGTGACCACCTCTTCAAGCAGGCCACCTGGCCATGGTGACCGCTTTTTCTCTGTCCAAAAAAAATTGTTGCGACACAAGCATTGAGCAACCTGTCCAAGGAGACCACCTGTCCAAGGTGACCACCTGTCCAAGGTGACCACCTGTCCAAGGTGACCACCTGTCCAAGGTGACCACCTGTCCAAGGTGACCACCTGTCCAAGGTGACCACCTGTCCAAGGTGACCACCTGTCCAAGGTGACCACCTGTCCAAGGTGACCACCTGTCCAAGGTGACCACCTGTCCAAGGTGACCACTTTTCTTTGGTCCCCTGGGGCAGGTTTGACTGTATGAGCAAACTTTCTTCTGGAGCAAAAGATACGAGTCCCAAGTCTTAAGATGTTTGTTGTCCATCTTGCAGGAGTACCTGATCCTGGTGGCCCAGTTGGAGCATCAGTCCAGACAGGTGAGGGGTCAGCACAGGTGGAACAAAAAATATGGCTGTACACCTTAGAAAACTCTGTATTTTTATTGTTGAATTATTGAGTTTCTAACCTATTTCTAAACTATTTACGGACTGGATGTCATAAATTCACATTTTCAGTCTTTCTTTGCTCTATCTGTCTGTGTTAAAGGAATTTTTGGAGAGAAAAAATACAACTGCACCTAAAAAATCTATGTTCCGTAATTTGGTTTACAAACCTACAAGTACCAAACTATTTACAGATGTGGTATCATCAATTGATTTATTCAGTCTTTTGTGTTAAAGGAGTCACAAGCATCATCATTTGTTTGTTAATTTATATTCGATTTAATCAGTTGATGTGCCCAAAGTAGCTACAAAAATGTAACATTTACACTTCAAAAGTAGCTATGTTTCTGTATTACAGAATGATACAATCCATGGAGTCCAGCTTTGTTTAAAACTGAAGTTGTTTCTCCTCTGCTGTAGGGCCAGCTGTCCCTGCAGAAGTTCTGGTTCTATGTGCAGCCCTGTAAGAGAACCTTAGAGATTCTGGCAACCATCGCTGAGACTGTCAACAAGGTAAGGTTACAGAACACTGGTCACGTGACTTTGGGACAGGGTTAAAGGTCAGCTGTATCCTAGCAACCATCGCTGAGACTGTCAACAAGGTAAGGTTACAGAACACTGGTCATGTGACTTTGGGACAGGGTTAAAGGTCAGCTGCCACGTGACTTCATGAAAGAGTCAAAGGTCAGCCGGGTCAGGACAGACCCTGGCTACCACGACTTTGCTCTTGACTATTCCCCAACCAAGGTCAGCGTTAGGTTGGGAGTAGCCTAGAATCCTTCCTATTCTAGCTCCAGTTTACTTGAATATCTTAGCATCTACTAAGAAGAATTTGACTAGTCTTTCTCAATTAGTCGGCTGAAACAGACCACTTTTAACATCTAGTAAGCCTAACCTCACAGACCATCTCCCAACCACAGATGGGCTTACAACAACGTAACTCCCAACTGTGGTCTGAAGAACGTTGGTTGAATGAAAAACCCTCCTGATTTTCTATCCTGCAGGGAGACTGCCGAGGTGGGGCTGTGCTAAGTCTGCTGCACGAGAGAACAGCCAGTCTCGTCGGGTGGGTCTTTCTTTAACACTTTGTTCTATAGTTATAGAGTTCAGACAAGAAGAAAATTTACCATAAATTTTCAGTCAATCTCGTCAACCTTCGTCAGATATGTGATGCACTCACTGACTCTCCGGAAGTCAGAAATGTGATGATGTTTCCATCTCAAGATATCAAAAGTGAAAATAAATTGGGAGCAGTCAAGTAGAGACATCTCCCCAGAAATGTTTAGGGGAGAGGTGCTCCTTAATCGGTTGATGTCGCAAAAAAAAAAAAAGAGATTTATGAAAATACTAAGAGAAAACCCTATATTTGACAATTTTGTGAGAGGTGCTAGGATTTTGGGGAGTCAGGGAGAACACCCTTGCTTCATTGCTTGGAGAGAGCCTGAAGTATCATACAAGATACCAAGCCATGGTAGTGATATGTACAATGTATAATGTAAGTACATTGTACATGTAGTACCTGTTCATTACAGAGATTCGAAGGCCCAGGACCTGTGCCTGTACTTGACCCAGGCCTCGTGTGTTCCGTACTTTGAGATTCTGGAACGGTGGATCTATAAAGGCATCATTGTGGACCCTTATGCAGAGGTGACTGGAACTGATTGTTGATTATTTTGTCCTGTTTGTTTGTTTGTCTGTTTTTGTTGTTCTATGTGAACAGTCATTTAGTTTAACTGTGATACAGTTGCGTGTGCCGTGACTAGTGCAGTGTACCGGTTCGCTGGACCGGTTCCAGACTTGTAAAATGTTTAGGTTCAAGTAAAAAAAAAATGAATGTTGGGAACCAGTTCCGAACTTACAAAAACCATGTCACCTTCCCTTTTTCATTCAAAACCACCTAAAGCCTTACATAGATTACTACCAGCACAAATGAACTTTCATGCTGATAAGAGGACAAGCTATTTATATTGTTTTTACTCAGTTTCTTCCTCCTCCTCTTCTGTTCCAAACACTAACCTATGACCTGGCCAATGACATGATTTGTTGACATCTGCCACCATGGTGACTGGTGTTGGGTTACATAATGTTGCAATTTCATGGTCTGCTCTACTCCTGTCACCATATACCCGTAGTACAATCATGTATGTGAATATGTTTGAGTAAAAATTAACAGGGCAGACCATGTCCGAAGGTAAACATTATGCGTCTCTTTGCAAATGTTACTTCTTTAGTTACTAGTATTTTTCCTTCTAATTTTCTCTCCACAGTTCATAGTAGAGGAGCACGAGTCAGTGATAAAGGAGAAGATAGAGAAGGATTATAACGATGCCTACTGGGAACAGAGATACACCATCTGTAGGGAGAGGATTCCTGTCTTTCTGGAGAAGGTAGGATAGAGGGAGGGAGGGAGGGAACAGAGATACACCATCTGTAGGGAGAGGATTCCTGTCTTTCTGGAGAAGGTAGGATAGAGGGAGGGAGGGAGGGAGGGAAGAAATAAGGTTCCATGCTCTCTATCACTAACACAGTTCAACAATTCGTGTTAAAATGTTAAACAGTACATAAAGTCACTGTTAATGCAGAAAATCTGAAATTTGATAATAAACATCTGGACTACATAAAGGCCACAAACAGTTTATTTGAAAAGTTTGTATCTGTTTAATAAAGGTAAAGACTGATTGATTGATTGATTGATTGATTGATTGATTGATCAATTTATTGATTTATTGATTGATTGATTGATTTGTCATCAGGTTGCAGACAAGATTTTGAGCACAGGAAAGTACCTGAATGTCATCCGACAGTGTGGTAAGTTACAAAATGTAGTTCTCTTTGTTTCCTGGACAGCTGAAATGTATGGTCCATTCTTCTTCAATACTTTTCACAAATTTGTTTAGATGTTACAAAATGATTTTAAATGTTCCTGTAATGTTTCATTCAACTCTGCCCTGGCGCCACAGGGTGTCTGCTACAGCACCAGTTGACCATTATTTGTTTGAAGAAGACGAAACAGAGCAAAAGCAGATGCGAAGGTGAACACAAATACATTTTGCAGGGCGAGACGTGAAGTGTCCAGCTGCAGAGGAGATAGTGTACACGCTGAAGGAGCGACAGTACGTGGAGCAGATCGAGAAGGCGTACAACTACGCCAGCCGCGTGCTGCTCGACCTGCTCATGGAGGAGAAGGAACTCATGGCCAGGCTCAGGTACACCGGGCAGGGGTTCTAGTCCTGGGTTCTAGTCTCAAGTACAAGGGCAGGTATTCTAGTCCCAGGTACAGGCGGCAGGGGTTCTAGTCCCAGGCTCAGGTACTGGGGGATAATGGTTCTAGTCCCAGTCTCAGCAGTCAGGACAGGTACTTATTTCAGGCTCAGGTGCAGGGGTTCAAATCTCAGTAACAAGGTACAAGGTATTCCTTACCCCTGAATGTCCAGTTGCTAGGGTGAAGAGTCCCAAGCTCATGGTCAGTTACAGCGGTCAGGGGTTCTAGTCCTAGTGTTCAGGTTTGAATCTCAGGCTAGACATGCAGAAAGGAACAATGTACAGGAGTGCCAATCTACAAAATGTAGGCTTAAAGTTAAAAGTCCAGAAGATACAGTTTCAAGAAATTTCAACATTAAGTAACTGCTAGAAAAAAAAACAGTCGTTCAGTTAGAGCTGCAGCACAGACAACCAATGGGATGCCTTGTTACTGGTTGCTCCCTCACCCGGCCATTGTTTTTTCCCCATAGGTCTATCAAACACTACTTCCTATTGGACCAGGGTGACCTGGTGGTGCAGTTTATGGACATGGCAGAGGATGAACTCAAAAAGGACATGGAAGATATCCTTTTCTAATTATTTCTTGACAATAACAGTTACTGATTGATTGGTTGATTGATTGATTGGCCGATTGATTGATCAATTGATTGATTGATTGGTTAATTGATTGCTTGATTGATCGATGATTGGTATCCAGAATACACATAATCTAAATGCTATTGGATGTTAGGTATGAATAAGTTAACTATTATCAAACGTTTTGAAAGTTTCTCTTCAAGTTCAAGACAAAAATGCATGTACCTGTGCTTTGATCATACTCCAACACTGTGGTCTACCGGTGACAAACAGTTGACACTTGACAGTGACAATGATTGGTCCATATTAGCATGTAGAGTCATAAATCGACAGTATTAAGATGTTCTCAGTTATCTTGACTTAGAGGTGTTGGTGATCAAGCTTCTAGTGGAAGGGCTGATTTTAACCTAGAAGATGAGAGCTCGAGAGAAAGAAGTTGTACCTTAACCAGTCTCACATATCATCCCCACCCGTCTGGAGTCTCTACTGGAGCTGGCCCTCAGGACTAGTGTAGCCAACGCTGATCCGTACAAGGACGATCTCAAGTAAGGATACACTTTTCTTCATTTTAGGCCACAGCAAGCAATTTTTATGGATCACATTCAGCAAGTTGCTTCAGTGAGAAATGGATGTTGTAATAGTTGGCACAATATACATGTACTATCGTTTCTTATTTAACAAGGTTTATGATGTCAAAATTTGAAGTATGGCTAACGCATTATTATCATTGTCATTATTAATTAACTTTTATTGGATCTTAAATTATTGTTTCTTGACTTTATGTATTTTGTTTATTTGTGATATACTGTATAAATACCAAAAATGAAATAAAATGAATAAATATTGATTTTAACTGTTTTGCAGGGTTGAACTGTTGAACTATGACCTGATCACCCAGCTCTTCCGAATATTGTCCATCGAGACTAAACAAGAGAAAGGTAAGAATTTACAAAATTGGCCTTTTTATTATCACAAAAGTAATTTTTTATGCATTGGCCTGTAGGTCTATCTGCAGTACCAATAGTCACAGCTAGGGGGTGCTGATTGCTGTGCAGGTCATTAACCCCTAGATGTAGGTCCTGGAGTACCAATTGTTATAGCTAGGGGGTGCAAATACTAGCCCTACAGGTCTAGGCCATTGACCTTACAGAGATCAACATTTCTGGGTCTTGCAGTACCAATAGTTATAGCTAGGGGGTGCTGATGTACTGTTTATTTACACTGTGACCTTACAGAGATCCACATTTCTGTGTCCTGCAGTACCAATAGTTATAGCTAGGGGGTGCTCATGTACTGTTGCCTTTCCCCAGCGCTACAGGGCATTGACCCCACAGAGGACCACATCTCTATGTCCTGCAGTACCAATAATTAAAGCTAGGGGGTGCTGATGTACAGTTTACTTTCCCCAGCCCTACAGGGCATTGACCTTACAGAGATCCACATTTCCGGGTCCTGCAGTACCAATAGTTATTGCTAGAGGGTGCTGATGCATTGTTTCCTTTCCCCAGCGCTACAGGGCATTGACCCCACACATTTCTGTTTCCTGCAGTTCCAATAGTTAAAGCTAGGGGGTGTAATTGCACTGTTTCCTTTCCCCAGCGCTGCAGGCCATTGACCCAACAGAAATCCACATTTCTGGTCTGGAGGCCTTCGCTTTTGACTACGAGGTGAAATGGCCGCTGTCTCTCATCATCAATAGAAAGGTAGGATAAAATTCTTTTTTTCTTCTTTTCCTGTCTTGCTCAATGTTTAAAAAACACAGTCTGGCTTTTGCTGCTATGAAGAGGTTTGCTTTTGTATGCAATTTTGAAGGAACCAAGTACCAAGTACAGTGTATTGTAATGAAATCCACAATTCTGCAAGATGGCTGTGAGTGATTTTAACCTGAATAAACCATTCATTTGTTCAACAAACCATTCAACCAGTTTTCTAAAAGAAGCCACATCGGGGGAACATGGTTTGTACTACCAGTTTTGACTGGTTTGTTGACCTGTGTATACATACCGATATGTTGGCAGCTTCCAATAAAGTAAAAGTAAAGATATGATTTGAGAAACCTCCAGGTTGTGTAAGAAAGAGTCTCTTTATATAATCACTGACTTGATAAAACTATTCACTGACCCCTGCTGTACTTTCCAGGCCCTGACCAGGTACCAGATGCTTTTCAGACACCTGTTTTATGCCAAACATGTGGAGAGGCAGCTCTGCAAGTAAGTCAGTGTTTCAGCCCAGTCTTCTTCAGTCTTAGAACAAGACGAGATGGTTGTATTACTTGTAAGGCCACGGTTTCAAATCCCATCCAAGCTTGTGGCAAATTTTCTCAAAGTTAAACTGGATTTTTATGCTACTGGTAGGATTTGTTGTCCTTTAGGAGAGGCATTTTGAAATGGTTAAGGTTTGATCTTCTTCAGTAAGATTGGTACGTCCTATAAATTATATAAAGCCTGCCATCTCAGATTGCCCTTTCTTATTACATTTTCCCCACAGTATGTAGTTGAATAGTAAGACAGCAAAACCGTATGGGTAAAGGGGGTGAAGTCTGCCATCTCTAATAGGAATTCTGTCATATTTTTTTCCACAGCATGTGGCTGAACAGTAAGACAGCGAAGCAGTATGACCTGCAGTCACCCCGCTGGTATGCAGCAGCCTTTGCCCTGAGACATCGCATGCTGCACTTTGTTCAGAACTACGGATACTACATGATGTTTGAAGTACTGGAACCAAACTGGCACATGCTGGAACACAACCTCAAGTCTGTAAGTATGGGGAGGGAGAAAGAGGGAGTGAGTGAGTGAGTGAGTGAGTGAGTGAGTGAGTGAGTGAGTGAGTGAGTGAGTGAGTGAGTGAGTGAATGAGTGTGTTTTAGTGAGTGAGTGAGCTGGTGGGTGAGTGAGTGAGTGAGTGAGTGAGTGAATGAGTGTGTTTTAGTGAGTGGGTGAGTGAGTGAGCTGGTGGGTGAGTGAGTGAGTGAGTGAATGAGTGTGTGTTTAGTGAGTGGGTGAGTGAGTGAGCTGGTGGGTGAGTGAGTGAGGAAGGGAGTGAGTGAGTGACAGAGTGAGTGAGTGAGTGAGTGAATGGGTGAGGAAACACACAAAGTCAAAAGATACTCAGAAATGTCTAACTACATTTGTACATATGTGATAAATTTTTGAGGAAAACATTCATGAAAAAAAATGATCTGCAGAATTCCTTTTTCGCTTTTACAAAACCAACAGCCACTAAAGTATGTCTTGTCATCCTCTTGTTTGGTTGTATTAAAAACTTGCCATAATGAATTTTTGCCCCGGCACCCTTATGTTGTATGTGGTACATCTTAATATTGAGCACAACGACTTCAAACCTTTGTTCACAAAACCAGTCCTAATTGTTGGGGAAATATTTTAACCAGTAAGGGTGACATTACTTTGACAATCTTTACTTCAATAACTGGAGAAATCCCTCTCATTGCTTGGTTTGTCTGCTGTCAATAATCATGGGCAAATACGGTTGTCTTCTTTGCTTATTCTGGGAGCCAGGGCCAGCATTTTTTAAAGCACTGTTTTGTTTTGCCAGGTATCGAACGTGGACGATGTTCTTCATCATCACATGGACTTCCTGGACAAGTGTCTGAAGGACTGCATGCTCACCAACACGGAGCTGCTCAAGATAGTCAGCAAGCTCATGGTCGTGTGTATCACCTTCTGCAACTGTATACAGGTGGGCCATATCACTGTATCACCTTCTGTAACTGTATACAGGTGGGCCATATCACTGTATCACCTTCTGTAACTGTATACAGGTGGGCCATATCACTGTATCACCTTCTGTAACTGTATACAGGTGGGCCATATCACTGTATCACCTTCTGTAGCTGTATACAGGTGGGCCATATCACTGTATCACCTTCTGTAACTGTATACAGGTGGGTCCAGTAGTACCAATAGTTCCTGCTAGGTGGCGCTCATGCACTGTTAACTCATTTCTCTCTAGAGACTGAGTCGTACCTTCCTCGCAGATGACAAACTGCCAGTTGATAGTGCCACCAGCAGGAAAACATACGTGTAACTGGTCCTGTAGTACCAATAGTTCCTGCTAGGTGGCGTTCATGCACTGTTGACTTGTCTCCCTGCAGAGACTGACTCGTACATTTCTTTTCGAGGAACTGCAGTTAATGGCATCGGCAGTAAAACATAATATGTAACTGGTCCTGTAGTACCAATAATTGATGCTAGGTGGTGCTGTTTCACTGTTGGTTTGTTTCAATGCAGAGACTGACTCGTACGTTCCTTGCGGACGAGGAACTTCAGCTAACGGCGCCGGCGGGAAAAGGGAAGGTAACCGAGGCTGACGTCAGGAAGACCAGAACTAAGGTGCTTCTCGAGGCTAGAGTCTAGCTGTACTTTCAAAATCACTAGATCAACTGGATAGATTCTCATTTTTGCTCTATTTCCTCTTCTCCTAACAAATAAGATCAATGGCCTGGACCAGATGGCTCTCACCATGGTAGCTGGTGCTGTGTTGTTGGATTTCATGATGTACAAAATGTAGCAAGTGGCAGGGCAGTGTTGGAGGGGCTGGTCACCATATAATTTGATAATATTAATATGAATATGCTTCAGTAAAATTGACAAAGCTATAGTTTGTTAGGCTGGACATAATTATGCCTTTTGCTGGACATAAATGCAGTTTTTCTTCGTTTCTCATGTTGCCTGAACCACTGCAGGTATCCCAAAAGAGGTACATTGTATTTCGAGCCCTGATTTGTTTGTTTTTTTCCCACGAAGGTTGTATCGGAGCACGTGGACGAGCTTGTGTCGAGCGACAGTTTTGAGGACACGATCACGAACTTTGACCGAAACTTCTCGTCGCTCCTGCTGAGCCTGCTGGACCGACTGAGCCACTTCAGCAGCAGCGACTGCGAGCACAACATGATGAACATCATCTACAGGTACTAATAACCCCCGTGTGCAACATGGACCGGTCCAGCACGTCGGCAGAACATACTGCGCCTGCGCAGAACCCCGTATTTTCACGTTTTTCGTTGGGTTTTTGGTCAACGTTGCATCAGAATTTTGCCTGTTGCAGAGGATATTCTTTCCGACACAACATTTGAAAACTACTGTTGGAATGCTAACCTTATATGAGCGAATACGACCTTATATGAGACATTATGCCGAAATGCTATGTACAATATATTACGGGTTTTGCGCAGGTGCAGTACAGGCGCAGGTTAGGCATGCCTTACTGTACAGTTCTGCAAACCAAACAAACAAAGTGTTGTGATGAGTGGATGTTCCCTACAGGTGACAGCTGGGAAAGATACACAGGTATGCCCGGCATCCTCTCACCTGTAGGGCTTCTCTCCTCACCTCAGGACCAAGCAAATCTTTACAAACATACACTCAGAAGCTCTCAAGTATCTCCCCACAGCTGTCTTTACCATCCTCCTAACCCTGCAAACAAGCAGGAATCGGTAGCCAAAAAGCTACTTCAGTGTGCTAAAGGTTAACCTTCTCCCTGCTGCCTAACCCTGTAACCAAGTTGGAATTGGCAGCCAAATGGCTACTTCAGTGTGCTAAAGGTTAACCTTCTCCCTGCTGCCTAACCCTGTAACCAATAGAGAACTGGTAGCCAAACGGCTACTTCAATGTGCTAAAGGTTAACCTTCTCCCTGCTGCCTTACCCTGTAACCAATAGAGAACTGGTAGCCAAATGGCTACTTCAGTGTGCTAAAGGTTAACCTTCTCCCTGTTGCCTAACCCTGTATCCAATAGACTATTGGCCGCCAAATGGCTACTTTAGTTTGCTAAAAGTTGAGAGCTTGGTTTTGCCCAGTGTTGGATCATTCCACTCCATAACAAGGGGTGTTTTGGATCATTTTTTAAACTTGGTGACGTGCCACAGGTGGTGTCTTCCTCGTTATGCGTGCCGTATGTGACCTATGGGGCCTTGCAGAAATATTTAGAACCCCCGGACAGATGCTGATAAACGACCTTCTCAAGGTCAAGTTCGTTTTCTCTCCTTATACTGGCGACGAAATAAGAACTTGGGGAGTTAAGAAGCCAGGGAACATCTTAAAGTTGTCTTGAGGTGTAAGAATGTAAAGCTGGTCGCACCTGTACTGTGATTCGGACCTTCTGACCTGTGAGCTATTTATAGCTCAATTAGGAAGATGCTAAACAGTTATAGAGATGGCTGTTGTGAAATTCTTTGGCCTCTTGAGATCCAGCAACAAATTTAGCCTTGACTTTCATACAGAAACCCTGTACAAATCCTCACACATGTCACCACTTTTTTATGTTAGGCCACACCAATTTAATGAGTTGGTTCTCAGATTCACCCGCTTCATTTTTTTTATATGATAAAAGAAAAATTTCAGGCTCTAAACCAGCCCTAAAATGCTCATGTTTTGGCCGCAACAGTTGAAGAAAGTTCCTTCTCTTCAGAGTTGTTACAGTTTTGCCATCTATCAAAATTCATTGTTTGAATTACAGACCAGCCAGGTATGTTGATTTCATGGCTCCTATCATAGCATTTGTAGGGGTATCACAGGATAACTAGGCCTGTCTTTTTTTTGCACTCGTCTGTCGCTTAAATTTTTTTTCTGGATGCTCCAAGAAAGAACATATCAAATGGGTGAGGCCCAACTAGTAACAAAGTTGTTAAATCTTCAACGTTCTTGTTCTTTTTTCCCAGAATCGACTTTAACGGCCACTACACAGAACAGCTGGAGCAGTTTTCAGCCGAGCGGTCCATGATGGAGCAAGCCCCTGATTGGCAACCTGCAGATTCAGACACAGGTAAACCTAGCACCTTATTGGTAGCCCTGACATTCAAGGCTTACTCATAGGATGTTTCGACTGGCCATTTTGTTTCTTTCCAGCTCTCAATGTACAAAAAAAATTAACATTTTTTTTTGTTACATACATGTATGTGGACCTCTTTCCAAGTCAAAAATATCTCCAATTTGTTGCAGTTTCTTTGACCTTCCTCAGGAAAAATGACCCACCACTGAAGTCACATGACTCTAGTGATGGGTCAAATTTCAAACCGGTCTATTCATGCACACACATATATATTGGAAAAAGTTAATGTGAACCTTATTCTAGACCTAGGATAAAAGCTGTTGTGTTCCCCATGTTCCAACCAACCCTATATAGTATTTTGGCGAGTGTACTGCTTGGGAAAGGCTATAAAATTTGTCAAATCACTACCTACCAACCCTATTATTTTCAGGACTGAAATGGGAACACATAATGTTTTTCCTACTGTAGGCATCATTTGATATTGACGACCTTGGGTATTAAACTTGAACTTGAGTATTAAGCTGTAATTTGTACCAAAGTTTTCTGTTCTTGTTTTTTCTTGAAGTTTTTGGGAAGTTCTCTGGTGGAGGGAAGATGCCTGCCAAGGACCCGAAAACTGCCACCGGTGGAGAGTGAAAAGCTCCGCAGATAGTGAGTAAATCTGATGAGCTCCGGGGAGCACATCCTGACCCACTCTACATCTACAAACCGTTCTGTTTACGTTGATGAAGGTTAGACATCCAGGTAAACAATACTTATATAGGAAACTCAAACTCTATACTACAGTAACTGAATAAATTACGGAGATAATTTCCTGATGTTTCGAGTGACATCCACCACTCTTCTTCAGCGTCACTAATGTGTTCCATTTGTTAGTTTGTTTGGTTGGTTGGTTGTTATTTTGTTTGTTTGAACCTTTTGTTATTTGTAACAACAAAGAAGTAAGGGTCAGACAAAAATACAGAAAATACAGAGTACATGTACATGATTTAAGTCCTAAAAATAATTAACAAATACAATATTGGATATGGTGTGTCTAAAAGAAAAGGATATATGATGTTATAATTGCTATAACTGAAGTTGAATGCAAGAAAAGAGAAAAAAGAAAACAATTATGGTATTATAATACCCTTTATTGCATGAAATTTCATGCTTGTAAGGTTTTGAAACAACCTAAGCTCAGTTAAGGCTTGTATGTAGTACATTGTGTGCATGTGATGTCTACATGTATAATACACATGAACCAGGACTTACATGTATGTGTATGTATTTCACACCAAAGGAAGTTTAAACATTTTGCTTCCATGTGTGACTGTCTTTTAACCCATTCCTAGATAGACTTGGGTTTGAGCAAACATTTTCAGGTCAATGATTGAAACTACAATACACTTATATCTGATCTATAGAAGCCGAAATACTATCTAGTCTAGTGCTACATGTATAAGCCTTTGGAAAAGGTACACATAACGATACATATAACCGTTACAGTATATATTAACAATTGATGATTAATATGTGATGATTAGTAATTCCTGGGCAGAGAAATCTCCAAGATAAAAACTAAGGACTTAAAAAGTCTTTGTGTGTCCAAATTACCTGTATTCTGTGTTAACAGGTGCTTGAGAAATTCCTTGTAAATAAGAAGTACATTCTTACAGGACCTAATACGATATAACCGGAAGTCTCAAAGGTCCTTCAACGTGTTGTAAAAGATTAAAAGAAGACAAGAGACTTGAAGAAGGCTGTAAAGCAACAAAGTTGTGGTGAACATTTTTGTAAGAGTGGCTATAAAAAGTTGAGCAATTTTGTATATCCTGTCCTTGTTGTCTGTGTGTGCTTGTGTGTGTGTGTGCGTGTGTAGTTTGTGTGTGTGTGAGTGTGTGTGTGTGTGAGTGTGTGTGCACGTGTATTGACGTGTGTGTGCATGTGTATGTCTGTGTGTGCGTACATGTGTGTGTGTGTGTGTGTGTGTGTGTGTGTGTGTGTGTGTGAGTGTGTGAGTGGGTGGGTGTGTGCGTGCATGTGTGTATGGGCGTGTGCATGTGAGTGTGCATGTGTGTAACAAGCCGCAATTTAATTCCGGAAAAACAATTTAATTCTAGACTCCAGGCCAATAAGTCCAGAATGCTTTGCTTGATAATTAATTTGTCATGAGTACATACTAGTACATGTAGCAGAGGGTGACAATGCATTATGTGGAACACGTCAATTGGTCCCTAGGGAGTAGTCCAATTATATATAATTATATATATTTATACTATAGTTATCTATAATTATATATAATGATTTTTCCATTATACATTAATTATACATATTCCTTTTTACCATTATACATAATTATATATAACCCCTTTCCCCATTATACATAATTATACATAACCCATTTCACCATTATACATAATTATGCATAACCCATTTCCCCATTACATGAACATGTATACATAATTATAAATATATCATTCTCTTTTAACCATTATACATAATTATACATATCTTTTACCTGTGCTTAGGTACAGGTGAAACGTCATACCTCAGCAGTTCTGAGGTGAGCCTAGCTGAAGTGGTGTGAGATTTATACCCCATCCTGACGTGTGGTTTTGCTGTGTGCACAGTCGTATATCAAGTCGGTGGTGCATTGTTCCTGCTGTCAACAGCCCTGACATGGTTACACTGGAGCACATGTTGGTGTTAGGAGATGACTGACGTTTTGTGGGCACGTTTCGTGGGCAAGATAAAGATGATCTCTTCCGTTCTATGTCTAAGAAACGTCCCTTGCTTTAAGGTGTTTTTGTACCTTCATAATTTTTTTTTCTCCAAGTGGCAGATTTCATGTAAGGCACATATGTGGTATGTGTGCCTTGCGAATTGACTAAATAACAATTGACAACAATGACTTTAGATGTTTCAAATCTTTACGGTTGCTATTTTTTGCAATCCCTTTGCAGAAATTCACTGTCAGTGCATGTGAGTCGATTGTTTCTTGTAATGATTGTGATGATGATTGTTGCATGAAGTAAATGTCTTTCCTACATGTCCTATGAAGTTAAATGTATCATTCTGTATCTAAATGAGCATGCAAAGTTCAGACTGGGAAACAGGGACACAAGCCAAGAGTTATGGGTTCGATTCTCAGTGCACCTTTTCAACCTTTAATTTTTGACTTGAAAATTTAAAGTACTTTTACGTAATTTTTTCTATCTAGACTAGGGTTAAAATAACATGCAATGGAAAACCACCATCATGACAACTTGAGAAGTTCTGAGCGTCTTTATTCATACATGTACATGTACACAATACTTCCCACCTATCTGTACCATTCCTTCATACATCGAAATATTACACAATGTAGATATTAATAATAACAATAATTACGTCCACCGCTTCGGAGGTGTAAAATAAATAACGGATTGAATACAGTGCTCAATAAATATATGTCAAATATGAACAGAAATGTCTCATAATAAATATCAAATTTAACGGAATGAGAGAAGAAGTATCAATGGTATATACATCAGTTTTGGAAACCTTTTAAGTTAGGAATAACTACAAGATTTTTAAAAAGACAATCTTCTGTTGGCTTAAGAAATGAGGTATTTGTTGTGACAAAATTTACTGGTAGCTGCCCAGTAAAATCTCCTTCCACCCCTATTTTTAGGTGGTGGTTGAGTCCAGGTATGACAATAACCATTGAATCGTGGATAGCACCATGTCATAAAAGGGGTGTTTTTGCTATCATTTCACTGTAGTACTGTAAATCTTAGTGTTATGGGATTCATACTATATGCTATATCTATAAAACAGAAAACTGCAATGTACAAATTATACATTAATTTTGTCAGAAATGATATACAAAATGTACAAGACCATAAAAACTCATAGAATTGGTAACAACAACTTTTCTATCTAACAGCTGGAAAGATAATGCAATAGTTCAAACAAAGGTCATGATTTCCAAATATAAATTAGAATTTGAGAATTAGAATTAGAATCTATTTAAGGCCAAACCAATTTAATTTGTTGGTTCTTTATATTTTTGTTAAAAAATATTAAATGACGAAGAAAGAAAACAGGCCTAGGCATCCTACTGTAGCCCCTATTGCTACTGTAACGTTACATGTAGGTGCCATGAAGTCAACATACATGTACCAGACTGGTTTGTAATGCAAACTACGAATTTTAATTGAACATTTTGGAGTTGATTCAGATTTTCAGTCAGAAATAGATTGAAGCAGGCAAATCCGAGAACCAATGATTATTATAAATTGGTGTGGCCTTACAATGTACTTTACAATTTTTAGGTCAAATTGTCCAAATCTGACCATGATAACTACAGAAATACACCAACATCGGCTTCAAGTTCGTGACAAAGCTTTCCAGGCTGGGAGAGACTCAGTTTCAGTCCAAGCGTCTTCGATTTACAAACTTGTCAAACCAGTTTACCGGCCGGAGTGGCTAAAAGCATGGACCTTGTGTGAAGTGTCAAACCTTGGAGGTCCGCTGTTGAGAGAGGACTTCCAACCCCACCTCCAGGAGACAGCATTTCTTTGTTAACGTCTAAAGACACTTCAAGGACAGCCTCCTGTAGGAGGTGTGACCTTGGAGCTCTGTCTCAAACCTTACACCCCCCCCCCTTGAAATGTGTACCCCCCCCCCCCAAAAAAAAAAAAATTACATGTACTAGTACCCCCACACACATGGAAATACTGTCATTTGCATGCTACTGGTAAAGGTTGCAGTCCTTTTGCGAGCCATGAAAATATTAACATTTTCAGCAGTTATACACCCGGTTGATTTTTCTCGATCATTAAATTTTGCGCAATTTTTAGGGACCGGATGACATTGGCAGGTCACTCCAAGTATAACGGTGGATTTCATGGCAAAAAATACACCCGCGATCCCAAGATTTGGTGATCTTCAAGATCTGGGGATCAACTAGTTTGGCTTTGACTTTAAAAAAGAATCTCAGACTTTTTTGATACCACAGCTATGGTAAACTGTTCCTGTTTCAGTCACTCTCCAAGCAGAGGTTTGGGTTTTGGCTTATTTTGGTGTACTTTTAGTCTTTTTTTATCAGGCGTCCTTTTTTTGCACTGGTATCTTTTTTACGACAAACCCCAAAAATGGCGTAAAAATACTATCGGATGCCAATGCAATATACAAAGACCGATAAAAAAGCTGAAAAACATGCCAAAACCCAAACCTTGGAGGGTACCATGTCAGTGAGCACACAGGTAAAGTGTCTGCGTGCTGACCAGTCAGTTATGGCAGACAGTTGACACTGTAAGCTCCATTACTACTGTCAACATTGACTGTCTGTTACAGTCCATGATAACATGATTAAGGACCAGAAACAGGCCTACGTTTTCAATTCCAACATGACATGTTTTATTTCCTTTGTACTCTTCTTTTTTGTCTGGAAGTGTCCTCATGCAAGTTTTATTTTGTTAACCTGTATTTGTATAAGTTGGACCCCTATATAGATATCACTGAAGTCTGTAAAAAAAAGATAATCCCTACCTACCGACCCTAATTTTTTCAGGACTGAAACAGGAAACACATTTTTTTGTAGGCCTTACCAACTACAAGGGCCCAGGAGTAAGTGATATTTTTAATCTAAATTCTAATATCATAATCATATTTTCAAGGCATCATACACTCTTGACTTCGCATAAAGTTACCGTACATGTA